AAATGGATCCAGGGCTGTGCACATGCTAGGCAAGCATTCTACAACTAAGTTACTTTCCCAACCCTTTTTGTTCTTTTGAGACTGTCTCACTAAGTTATCCAGGCTGGCCTTGAACTTGTGATCCTCCTGCCACAGCCTCCCCAGTAACTGGAATTACACGTGTGTGCCACAGCACCTGGCTCCCATTTCATAAGAAAAAAGTTTGCATTTTTTTAGGAGAGAGATACTGGGGATTGAACCCAGGGGTACTCTACCGTTGCACTTAACAGGCAGTTCTTTGTTTTGAAACAGGATCTTACCAAACTACTGAGGGTGATCTTGAATTTATGATCCTCCTGCCTCAGCCTGAGTTGCTGGGATTATAGGTGTACACCACACACCCAGCTTAAAATTTTCTAAAAAAACAATAAAATAAACCAAGCTCTCAGGCCAAGAAATAAAACCTCACTGCTTCCTATAAACTTCCTGTTTTGAATCAGCAAGCCTGTCTCAGTCCTTTCTGCTTGCTCTAATTTTCTTCCCAGGTCTTACTGCAACCTGACATTTTGTTCTAGAATGTCAGCCCCAGGAGGGAGAGTGGAAAGGAAGGTCTGTCTACTTCTCCACTGTGTGCTCAGCACCTGAATTGTGTCTGGCACCTAGTAGGTGCAGGTAAAAACAGTGTGGGAATGTGGGAATGGCCTGGGAGCCAGAGGCACAGACTGTAGCGGAAGGGCTGGCCGTGGCCTTCCGGCCTGAGCTTCCTTTTCTGTTGCCACCCCTGCCATTAGGAGTTCAGTAGCAGGAAACTGAGGGTGCCAAATTCTTCAACAGCCAGCTCGAGTGAGCCTCCTCCAGGTTTAGGACTAGACTACAGATTTTCTGGTGGACTTGGGATCCAGCAACGGCCACTCCAAAAGTGACCGACAGGAAATGTCAGATGGAGTGACTAATTATAACAATGAAGGTAATAATCCTACTACTAATAATAAACAATGGCTCACATGTTCCCAGCCAGAATACTAAGCCAAGGGCTGAGTGTTCAGCATTCCAGAGCCTTCCCAGGTTCTTTCAAAGTGGGACCAACATCCCCACTTGCCAGTGAAGAAAAGGGGTCTGGGGTGGGGTGGAAGGGCTCATGTACTGCCTGAAGCCTCCTTCCAGAACTTTGATATTAGATCTGGACACCCAGCTGGGAGGCCTCAAACCCTACATGTGGCCAGGGTTTGCTGGGGTCTGGGGGGGTTCCCCGACAAGGGACTTTCCATGCTAAATTGGGGACAGCCCTGGGCACACTGGGACAGTTGGCCACTTTTCAGGAAGAAGCTTGAACTGGGGGATTCCCCTGACCTTGCCTGGTCTGTAGGGAGGGACCTCCCCAGAACCTGGGAAAAGCCAGGGTTGGTGAATTGAAAACAAAATCCCTTTGTGTTCTTTTAAATGTTAGAGTTCAAGAAACAGCTTCCCACCCCTAAGAGCCATGAGGTAAATTTCCTGCAAATCTTTCTAAGAAGGTTCCTTCCTTTCCACATTGGGCACGTGTGAGGACCTACATTCTCTAAAAAATTCACACCAGCAACCGCAGATAGTTGGTTTGAAATGGCAGTTACATGCGCCAAGGCGGGCACCAAATTCAAATCCCAGATATGCCCTTGCTGTGCTTGTTTCTTTCTCTGTAAAATGGGGTTGCTATTCCGGGTCCACCATCAGAGTTGTGGCTCAGGCATCAGATGAGTTAATAGAATGGAGCCCAAAGTGGAGGGAACATTCTCCCCCTTGCCATTTTTTTTTTTTTTGGTTGATTTTGGTTCCAGGGGTTGAACCCAGGGACCCTCAACCCCTGAGCCACATCCCCAGATTATTTATTTTATTTTATTTTGGGTCAGGTTCTCCCTAAGTTGCTTAGGGCCTCACAAAGTTGCTGAGGCTGGCTTTGAACTTGTGTTCTTTCTGCCTCAGCCTTACAAGCCTCTGGGATTCTAAGTGAGCCACTGTACCTGGCACTTTTTTTTTTTTCATTTAATGATATTTCTTTGCTATAATTCCTTTATACTACATACAGATCTATTTTGTGGAATTGTTTTATCATGAAATATTTCAAACACTTAAAAAGCATAAATCAAGAGGCTGAGGCTGTGGCTCGAGGTAGAACACTCGCCTAGCATGTGCAAGGGCCTGGGTTCGATCCTCAGCACCACATAAAAATAAATAAAAATAAAGATATTGTGTCTAGTTACAACTAAAAAATTTTTAAAAAGCATAGAAATCAATAAAAACATCACCTAGGCAAAAAAAAAAAAAAAAAGGGAAAAGCCCACATGTCCAAGAGATGAATGAATAAATAAAATGAATAAATAAAATATGATATATCCACACATGGAATATTAGATGACTATAAAAAGAAAAGAAATTCATTCATGCTAAAATGTGGATGAATCCTAAGGACATCATGCTCAGTGAAATAAGCCACACAAAAGGACAAATACTGTATGGTTCTACTCAGGATGTCCTTAGAGTTGTCACAATCAGAGTCAGGAAGTAGAATGGTGAGTGCCAGGGCCAGGGAAGAGAACAGGGATTTAGTGTTGAACAGGGACAGTTTCAGTTGGGGAAGGTGAGAAAGTTCTGGAGATGGACAGTGAGGTTGAATGGCTGGGGACCACCTTTCTGACCTGAGGGAGCTGAGGAGGGAAACAAATGATGTACCAGGCAGGGAACATCTAAGGCAAACACCTTGAGGGAAAATCTACCCTTGAACTTAATGTAATTGTCATCCATTTGCTGGGATCTGTAACGTGCTTGCTCTATCCACATTATGAATCTCACAGGTACTGATGCCAATCAATTGCCCCGTTCTACCTCCCAGCATTGTACAAATTGATAAGCTGCAATTTGTCCCTTCTCCTGTGGGAGGACATTGATGTGGTTTTCAGTTTGGGAGATTCTGTGGCTCCAAGGAACCTCTTTCTTTTGCTTTTCAGCATTTTTTTTCTTTTTAAGGAAGAAAGCATTATTAAAAAGGAAGGTGAAGGAAAATCTCAGAACTCTGGGTGCAGCCCACCTGGGAGGGACAATAGCACCTTCATCTTTATTTTTGGACAACTAATTAATTTCCATGGTTCCAAATCAAAAAGGCACAAAAAGATTTTCAGAGTAAATCCCCACTATGTTTGTGGTCTCCTGTCATCCAGCTCATTACTTAATTCAAAACAAATTTATGAGTTAGGTGTGATCTCAGGGATTCAGGAGGCTAAGACAGGTAGATCACAAGTTTGAGGCTAACTGGGCAACTTAAATTTTATGTCAAAATAAAAAATAAAAAAAGGGCTGGGGATGTAGCAGCTCAGTGGAAGAGAGCCCCTGGGTTCAACCCCCAATATCCAAAAAAAAAAAAAAAGCCCCTCTCTGCTTCTCACCCAGATACAAAGCACCAGGGGACCACACTCCATTTTGCAGCTCACTATTTCCCCCTGGTGGTGATTGGCTTGGGCACAACAGCAGCTTGGCCTCTTTCATCCCCTGCTCCAGCAGTTTTCCCAAGCCCGTGTGCCAGGATCCCTTTGCAGCATAGTGGATATTACAGGGAAAAATGACTGTTTCTGCCCTGTTGGCACCTACAGCACCCAAAAGTTGACAAAACAGGTCAGCAAAAGCAGGGCACACAGTCAGGTGAGGCAGGCTGGGTGGCTAGGTGTGAAGGTGACTCAGAAAGGGGGGTCAAGAAGTACTTCTGGGGGCTGGGATTGTGGCTCAGTGGTAGAGCACTCACCTAGCAAGGGCGGGACCCGGGTTCGATCCCCAGCACCACATAAAAATAAAGACATTGTGTTGTGTCCATCTATACCTAAAAAATAAATATTAAAAAAAAAAAAAAAAGAAGTACTTCTGGAAGGTGGCACCAAGCTGTGATCTCAGGGACAACTGGCTCCTAGTGAGTGGTGTCTCTTGGAACAGGCAGAGGGCTCCACTGGGTTGGAGATGGATATCCAAGTCTAGGGCTGATTGAGTGGTTTATCATACTATTCTTTACTCATTTATTTGCAGTGCTGGAGATTAAACCCAGGGCCTTCCCCATGATAGGCAAGCATTCTACCACTGAGCTACACCGCAGGCCTGTATTACTCTTTAAGTCCTTTCCATGGCTGAATGTTTCATGACTTCTTAAAGCAGCACCCCCTTGCAGGGAAGGGTGTTCCAGGTAGGACAGGCAAGTGTCAAGAACCATTTTGACCCTTGCTGTCCAAAGGGAGATACCAAGACTAAGTCATCTAAGGCCACAGTGATAAAGAGAAACTTTAAAGGCTGGGGTTGTATGTAGTTCAGTGGTAGAGAGCATGGTTACATGTGAGGCCTGTGGTTCCAAACTCAACACAGAACGTATATTAATTCAAGTACTCAGATCAGCATGGAGGTAATTCAAGCACTCAGATAAGCATGGGGGGAATAGGGATGGAAGGAATATGAAAAGCTGAAAGGGAGAAGAGGGTGGAGGTGATAGCCACATGGTGCAGAGCCTGGTGAGCCGCAGGGAGGACTTTGGCTTCAGCCCTAAGGGGGAAGCTGCCCTGATTGGTGTTCACAAAGGTCCTCTGGTAGCTCCTGGGAAGTGGGTAGGGGCCCTGGAGGTCAGCATTTTAGGATTAGAGGTGATAGGGACCCAGACTATGGTGGAGATGAAGGCAGGGGTCTGATTCCAGATCAGTTCTGAGGACAAGCTGCTCTCAAATAAGGGGACAGGGAAGGCGCAGCTGAGGAGGCCACTCCTGAGTGGGCGGACTGGTGGAAGGGGGCTGGGAGGAACAAGAGAGCACTGAGGGGTGCCCTGTAGGGGTGAGAAGTGAAGATCTAGGACTTTTCTGATGCAATGGCACCTAGAAGATTGTTCTAAACAGTGGAACAGCATGTGGCAGGGCCAAGAGTGAGGACTGAAACAGTTGGAAGAAAGCCTGGGGAGCAAAGGGCTCCATTAGTACTCCACCGGGTTCCCCTTCTGCCCCCCAAATAATAGCTATGGCCACCACAAGCATCTGAAATCCTTTATTGGAAGATCATTGCTCTTTACCAAATAGAAGACTTGACAGACAGACCCACAGTGACCGGCCCCTTGACTGGGGACCCTCTGCCCAATGGAGGGCAGGCCTGGCGACCTCTGCCCCTCCCTGGACCCCTGGGCCTTTGGCATAATGCTGAAGGGTTGGGGGGGCTGCAGGCAGTGAAGCCCCTTTACTCAAAGCAGAGACTTGGATGAGCACTGGGAACAGGGCAGTGGAAGAGGAAGGCGGGGCAGACCCCCAGGACTGGGGGGAGCAGCAAAAGTGGAGGAAGCCAGGGGCTAGAGAGATGGTGTCTATTTTTGTTTTCTGTAAAGGGGAGCATATAGGCCTGCAGGCAGGCGGGCGGGTGGTGGCAATGCCTGGGGTGGGTCACGCGCTGACATCTTTCTCATCACCCGATTTGGGAACGGCTTCCAGCAATGGGTCCCCGGGGCCCGCCTCCTCCCCCTCCTTGGCCTCGCTGGACTTGGAGTTGGGGACCCAGAGGCCAGAGTCGATGCAACGCTGCATGTGGTACTTCGCATCCTGTGGGGAGAAGGGTGAGCAGGTAAGGCTGGGCTGCTACTGCTTGGTGGCCCAGCTGTCCCCTGCATATCCTCAAACTTGCTCACCACTTACTTTACTCATCGGAGCTGTCCACAATGAAGGAAATATCTGTCCTGTGTGCCACACTGTCCAGTTACCACCCCAGCAACATGAGGCTACTGAGCCCTTTAAATGTGGGCGGTCTAGATGAGGAACGGAACCTTTTTCTTTTATTTGTAATACTGGGGATTAAACCCAGGAATGCCCTATCACTGACCTATATCCTCAGCCTTTTTTTGTTTTGTTTTATTTATTTTTTGGTTCTGGGGATTGAACCCAGGGGTGCTCTACCACTGAGTTACATCCCAGTCCCTTTTTATATTTTTAAATTTTGAGACAGGATCTTGCTAAGTTGCTAAGACTAGCCTCAAACTTGTGATCCTCTGCCTCTGGAGTCACTGGGATTATAGGCATTCCCCCATGCCTGGCTTCAACTTTAAATTTTTATAGTGTCAGTCTAGAATAAAAGTTGGCAAACTTTTTTTTTTCAATGCTGGGGATGGAACCCAGGGCCTCAACCATGCTAGGAAATTTTCCTACCTCTGAGCTATAACCTCAGCCTCAGCAAAATTTCTTATAGAGGGCTAATAAGTAAATATTTTTGGTTTTGTGGACCATAGGTCTCTGTCAGAATGATTTAACTCATTACTCCTTAAATCTGTAGTCATAGTGCAAAAGTAGTTGTGGACAATATGATAACAAGTGAGTGCAGCTGCTATGTTTCAGTAAAACTTTATTTCATAAAGGCAGCCTGACAATGAGCCTTCCAGTTATACTTTGCAAACCCTGGTCTAGATGTTTATCCCCAAAGAAGTTTCTAGACACCCTTGGTCCAGTCCTGTGACTAGACCCATTTTATAGACAAGGAAACCAACATGGACAAACAGGAAGCCAGGTGGCAGGAATGGCATCAAATGAAGGCTGACTAAGGCTCAAGCCTCTGGCTGGGAATGCAGCGCAGTGGCAGGGCCCTTGCCTGGCATGTCTGAGGCCCAGGAGCAATCCTCAGCACCACACAGGCATTTCCCAGTCCTTGTCCACCAGCACCGTCACTATTCCAGATAATAGACATTAAGACCTCTTATTGACCAGCTCTTTCCATGTGCTCAGCACTTCTCCACATGCATTCTACAAGTTGATACTGAGAAACTGTGGTTCAGATGAGGAAACTAAGACTAGGATCACAAATGGCCCACCATGACAGCAATCAGCCATCATAGGAACAGGGCTGAGAAGTGCCACATTTCGTGCTGGATGCTGAGCACACTATAGGTGCTCAATAAACCTAAGTGCACATGTGGCACAGTAACATGACCCCCTCCTTACTCCCTGGAGAAGCCCAGGAAGGACACTTTTATCAGTCTGCTTCAGAAACTCAGGAGCAGGATTGGGAGGGGACACATGGCTTGCCCCAAAGAGCCTGAGACGCAGTTGGTACTCACAGTGGGGTCCATCTTGCTGATGGCATCTTGGAGCATCTGCACATCCTTCACATCAAAGCACTTTTGAAGTTCCTGGGGGTGCAGAGGGGCCGGAGTCAGGGCTGGGTCCCTGAGATCCCAGTGGGGCCTGCTCATTGCCTGCCTGCCACCCGCCTAGGGCTGGGGAGCCGCACCTCAGGGAGGGACTCGTAGACCTCGACGGGGTCCAAGCCACCAGGGCCCAGCCGCTTCTTGCGCTCCTCTGCCTCATACTCCTTCATGGCCTTCTCGATGCGCAGCTTGGCGCGGCCCCGCACACGCTCCTTGAAGGCCTCTAGCTCGTCGTTAAAGCCCTCCATGTACTGGCGGTCGGCTGTCTGCGGAGAACACAGGGGCATTCACTGGACATGGGCCCGACATCCAGGTGGGTTCTAAACTGCATGAAGGGCACCCCAGGCTTGGGTCTCTCCTCACCTGTCCTTCATTTGGCTTCCCTACCCGGGACCTTGTCCACTCTGCCCTCCCCAACCACAGACCCACAGCAGCATAGTGTCTTCATAGTGGGGTTCTACCACATCTCAGACTCAACATGGTCACATCCCAGCTCTGGATTTCCCTCCAGCCTGCCTTGCCCTTCCCAGCATCAGTGTGGTTAGCTCTATTTCTGTAGGTGCTCAGATCAAAACCCTGTAGGCATAACTCTGTCCCTCGCCCCATTTTAGGATGCTCCATGCTCAAAATGTGGCTGCCACTGGACCACTTCCCACCCACCATGACCCTGGGCTCTCCTGACACATGATGTTCTGACCCACAGGAGCTTGAATCTGAGTGCATACTCCCTGCCTCCCCCAGAGGACTCTGGAATGGTTCCTTATAGAGGGGTCTCTGATCACCCAGCTGCTCAGGGACCATACCTTAATCTTAGTGAAGAACTGTCTGAAGCAGGCACGGGGGTCCACCTTCAGACTCTTGGCCAGCTCCAGGATGAACTGCATGACAATGGTCTGGTGGGCCACCTGCTCCATGAGTGCACATTTCTGCCAGGAAAAAGAGGCACGGTGTCTCCAAGTGGCAGCCTCAGAATGACCCTTTCCCCAGTCTGCAGCCAGGCTCCACTCACCTCTTCCACCTCTAGGTCAATGCACCAGATAACCAAGTAGTTGGCTGTCTCCTCACATACCAAGTGGACATTGTCTGACAGGTACTTCTGGCTGTCATCCCAGCGGCGGAGCATGCCTGTAGAAAAGTGTTGGCAAGGTGCTGAAAAGGGCCTGGAGGCAAAGGGCCGGCCCCTACCTGGCCTTGCCTCCCCCGTGGCATCCCCAGCCCAACTCACCAAAGTGCTTGATCTGTTTCTCGTACTTCTCCACAAAGGTTTTGTGTTTCTGCTCCCTCACTTCCTCCGAATCCTCCTCTGCCTTCTCAGGCTTGGTATTGACCATGCTCTGTGACAGGGCGAGAGGGGAAATGGGCTGGGGCAAGGCTGCGGAGCGCCTGGAGCGCGGGGGCCGCGGCCGCAGTGCCCATCCCATCAACGGCGGAGGTGGCCTCAGAGCCATGTGCATCAAGGTGGCAGGAGCATGGGCCTTCGGGCAGATCAGAGGGGACCGGTGGGGTGCTTCATTCACCCAGTCCCCCAAACTACCCCCCCATCTGATTTTTTTTAAATATTGTTTTTAGTTGTAGTTGGACACAATACCTTTAATTAATTAATTAATTCATTTACACGTGGTGCTGAGGATCCAACCCAGCGCCTCGAATATACTAGGCAAACACTCTTACCGCTGAGCTCCAGCCCCGATTTTTTTTTTTTTTTTGGTGGTGCTGGGGATACAACTTAGGTCCTCACATTACTGCTCTACCATGGAGCCACACCCACCCCCTATCCCATCCTCAGACTTGGTTTGGGCGGCACCTACACCCCAAGTGGCAATGGCTGTCCCGTTCCCCTGCACACGTGTCCCAGCCTCCTGCCACGAGTGCCCCACACACCTTGCTGAAGCCATCTTTGCTGAGCGTGTCCACATTCCAGGGCATGCTCTTTTCCTTCTTGCGCATCTCCTCCAGCTTCTGCTCCCAGCTACGCTCCTCCTTGCGAAGTTGCTGTGCCTCAGCCTGCAGTCGCTCCAGCTCCGCCTGGCCACCTTCGGCCACCTCCAACTCCTTCAGCTTCCGTTGGCACTCGGCCACTTTGCGCTTGCACTCGCGGCAACCCCTGTCCAGCTCCTCCTTCTCCTTCTGGAACTGCTCCATGCGTTCCACTCGGGCCTGCAGGTAGGGACAGGCAGTGGGCAGTCCGTCACTCCGGGAACAGTCTGTCCCTTGACCCTGGCCTCATTGCAGCCTGGAACTTGCACTGGAAATGGCCCCAGAAAACATGGGCAGCAATCTCCATGCCCTGTTATCCCAGCTTCCACCCCCAGTCCCGTGGGTGCTGGGGCCACCTGAGTCATGTTGGGTACCTCTTCTGCTCAGAGCTCTCTGTAGCTCCCACCTCACTCAGAACAAAGCCCAAGTCTTTACTGCAGCTCCCAGGACCCTGCACAATCTGTCCTGTCACCTCGTCCTTCCAGTCACAGTGGCTGCCTCTCTTTTTCTTGAGCTCATTTCCCTTGAACCTCAGGACCTTTGCACTAAATGCTCAGTCCCCAGATACCCCCCCGCCCCAAGCTTGCTGCCTCATGTCCTCACCCTCTGGGCTGGAATGCTATTGGTATTACACTGAAGGTAGAAGCCTTCAGGCATTCTTGCCCTGCTTTGTCTTCCTCCTCAGGACTGGCCGCCTGATAGTATCTTGTGACAATTATCTCTCATATTTTGGGTGCAGTCCTCCTCCAAGGATACTGACTTCATGAGATGGAGATTTGCTCACTGCTGTATCTCCAGGGCCAGACTGGGACTGGCACATGGTAGGAGTCCAGGGAAGGGTGGTCTGGTCAGGTGAATAAAGTAATAAGATGCCACCCCACCCCTGGCTCTCAGACTCTGCCTCTGAACTGGACCTGCCCTCAGCCACACCAGGGCTCCCAGCCCTGCCAACAATCCCCTCAAGCTAACTCTGCCTAGAGTGCTGCAGCCATCTACAACTCCAAGCTCAAAACAGAACTTAAGCCCTTACTCCCCCAAGTCAGGTCCTCTGCTGTGCCCTCACTCAGCGCAGGCCCTGCCCTCCTGCCATGAGGTTTTCACTCTTGACATTTATCCACTTCCTGCCACCCTAGCTTGGCAGTGGGTTTACTGTCCAGGCCCCCTCAGCTGGCTCTAGGCCAGCAAGTCTTTCTGATCCCAGTGCTGTGTCCACCCTCAATTACTGCCCTCTTGATCAGACCCCTATCCAGACCACCCTCAGATCTCCCACCTTCTCTACTCTATCCTTGCTCGACTCCAGTGCCATCTCTCCTGCTCAACAGTGCCTGCTCTAGCCAGAGTCACTGACTGAGCCCTGAGGGGTGCCACCACTTCATACGATGTCCTTCTCCAAGACAGGCTTGGAGCCTGTCAGGAGGGCCTTTGAAACCCTTTTATCTGAGGCAGCCCTCACTACCACCTCATCATGGAGGGTCTAGTTTCAGATGGGTCTTCCCCTGCTGGACCCCACCCAAGATTGTTTGTAACCATCAGATGATGTGAAGAGGTGCTGGACCTTGGGTTATATCCCATGGCCACTGTATACCAGATGGTTATCCCTGGGTATCCACTAGCCTCTGGGAACTTGGGTTTCCTCATGGGTCAATGAAAACAACAGCTGACCTCGTAAGGTTATAAAGATCCTCTTCAACTTACAATGGAGGTCCTATCATAATAAACCCATAAGCTGAAAATATCAGTAAGTCAAAAACTGCATGAATACTGCCAGGCATGATGGCGTACATCTGTAATCCCAGCAAGTCAGAAGGCTAAGGCAGGAGGATCACAAGTTTGAAGGCAGACTCAGCAACTTAAGAAAGACCATGCCTCAAAATGAAAAATAAAATGGGGGATGTGGTTCAGTGGTAGAGCACCCCATAGGTTCAATCCCTGGTACCCTCTCCCACAAAAAAAGAACAAAAGCATGTAATACAACTCACTCCAGAATATCCTAGCTTAGCCTAGCTGACCTTGAACATGCTTGGAACACTTACCTGAGCCTACAGTTAGGCAAAATCTAATCACCTAAATCATCTAATACAAAATTATTTTATAACACTGCATTGACTATCTCGTGTTTTTTATTTATTTGTTGGAGATGGGGTCTTGCTATGTTGCCCAGGTTGGCCCTGAACCCTTGGGTTCAAGCAATCCTCTTGCCTCAGCCTCCCAAGTGGCTGAAACTATAGGTGTGCACCATTGCTCTGGTTCTCATGTAACTTATTGAATACTGAGCTAAAATAGCGTGAAGAATAGAACAGCTGCACAGGAATACTTCACACCACTGGGGGGAAAATCAAAGTGAAACCAAGGTAAGTCAGGGACTGTCTGTACCAGCAGGAGCAAAAAGGATGATTACAGTTAAAAGTCTCGAGCTGTGAGCTGGGCATGGTGGCACACAGCTGTAATCCCAGCTACTCAGGAGGATCACAAGTTCACGGCCAGCTTCAGCAACTTAGTGAAACCCTGTCTCAAAATAAAATTAAAAGGATTAGTGAGTGGCTCAGTGGTAGAGCGCCTCTGGGTTCAATCCCCAGCAAAGGGAGAGGAAAAAAAAAGTCCAGGGCTGTGCTGGATGCTCAGCAAGCACCATTTCCAAGTTGGCTACTGTCATAACCAACTGTCCAAGGGGACAATCTTTCCCTGTCTCTCTGAAGACTATTCTGAGACTTAAACAAGGAAATGTGTCTCAAGTGTTCTACTGGCTTTCTGGCCCAGTGGAAATGCGGGGTGACTAGGAGTGGTCACTACCCCCCCATCACAGCACCCAGCTCTGCCATGTACTAGTAATCTGGCTAAGTCCCTTAAATTTCTCATGGTCTTGTTTTTTCCTCTCTGTGAAACGGAACCCCACAGAGGAGACCCATTGAGTAACTGCACAGAAAATGCTTCCAACACAGCACTTGGTGTCCCACTATTATCATCATTGTCCTTGTCAAAGCCACTGGAATGACCTGCTGATTCACTCTATGCCTTACTGAGGCAGTGTGCCCAGATAGCCCAGGGCCAGGCAAACCACAGGTAAGAATAGGAATACCTGGAGCCTATTCTAATGCCACACAGCCAAGTCTGAGCCTTGCTTTCTGCATATGAATAACAGATCAAGATGATTCCCACTTCCAAGCAGCCCTGGCCTCCATTTTTCCACAATGGGTCTGTCACCCTGGGGCCCTCCTGGTTTCTAGAGGCAAGGGGTTCTTTCAGGTTGGCACCATGCTGGCCCTGGGCAGCAACAGGAACTGACCATCCTATTGGCTTCTGCTGGGCTGCACCACTCTCCCCAGCGTCCTCTAGAGTGGCTGCCAGGGAGGCCAAAGCTAAAAAAGGCCTGGAGTTGGGGGGGCAGCAGTCTGCCCCACTGAGCTTCACACTTCCCGTGTAGGAGGGGCCACGACAGGCTGGGCAGGACAGAAGGCCTGGGAGTAAGAAAGTTCTCCAGGTGTCACTGTCCTGCCTTACAGATAGGAAAACTGAGGCTCACAGCATGTCAATGGAAGGAGCCAGAAGAAGCCACAGATGGCAGCTATCTCTGGGGAAGGAAGTTGGAGAGATGGAGCTGTGATGAGACTCATATATCCCGTCTCAAACCTTTGGAATTTGTGAGCAAGAATTACCTAAATAATGACGACAATAGGAGCTAGTGCCCTAGGAGTTTACAGACAGCAAATAAATACAGTAACCCTTTCAACAAACCTACAGGATAGATGAATCTCAGCTGGGGAAACTGAAACACACTGGAAGTCACACGGTATGTCAGTAATATAGAAGGTGCCAGAATTTGAACCCAGGTGGTCAGGCCTGTGCTTGAAAACACAATACTATCATGCTACCTTCTTACTAATGTCCACTCCCCCTCCAGAATGTTTAGTCCTCCCAGGCCCTGGCCCAAATTCTCTTCACAACTAGTCTCATTTCATTCTTAAAAGGGTCTCACAGAAGCAGTGGGGCCATATTAGCCCAGTTTCACACGGGCTCAGAAAACTTGCGTGTCATTCCATTGAAGCAAGAACAGGCAGGGCTGGGATTAGAACCCAAGCCTGCCTATCCCTGAACCTGTGCTGGAGCTGCTGAGGTCTGCTGCTTCCCCTACTCTCTACTATAGCCACAGCAGCAGGACAGGAAATGGTTCTATGCCAGGAGAGGGGAGGCCTCCCACCCATCAGGACCAAACTGTTCTCTTTGCAGTAGTAAAATTAACCTCTTTATGTGACAGAAATAGGTGTTCCCAAGAATAGTCTTTAGAGCTTTGCGGAGGTCTTAAATATTTCATAATAAAATGTTACACACTGCAAGAAATAGAAGTGCTAGAACTTTCTTCCCACACTCCAGAGGCTTGCCCAGCAGGTACTCTACCAAGGAGGCTGCAGTTTTAAGGAATAAGTCTGGAGGTAAGACTGACGCTAAGATGTAGAGACTAATACCATATCCCAAGGGCTTTCTAGGAGTTTCTGGACAAATAACTGGAAGTTGCCATAAAAGAGGGTGGGTGAGAGATTCCTAACTGGAAGTTTCGATTTGAAGGCATAATGCGGACAGGTTTGTGGGTGTAGGTTCTCTAATTTGGGGAGCAAGAAGTTAGGCCATCAAGGCTTTAGAGCACCCTATTGGTCTGTGAACACTAATGGACAGAGGAGGGGTGGTAGTACAGATTTCATCCAAACTTGGGATCTAAGGTATGGATGGAGGCAGGGTGTTGTTGGTAGGTAAATAGAAGGGTCAGTGACTATGGAATCAGACCCAGAAGGTCACTGGTGAGAGCATAGACAATCCTGATGCTAGAATGCAGCCCAAGAGGCTGGGAGACAAGTAAGGCAGGGCAGTTTGGGGTCCTGGGCTTGGGTTGTGTGAGTTTCCAGTGATGGGAAAGTTAATACAGGAAGTCATGGTCTTGGAGGTGGGCACGGATGGGATCTGTAACACTACACAAGGGGCATGGCTGGGCCGGAAACTAAGTGGGCGGGATTTCCTGGTATAATGGAAAACGGGGTCTAGAGGAGGTGAGGCCAAAGGAGTACAGCTGGAATTGGACTCGCCATGAGGGTGGAGCTGGAAACTGAATATTGAAGGGAACCAGGCTCCAAAACTTAAGTCCTAGGTGGGACTGAAGACCCTGGTGGGGCACAGGTCTACACTCTAGGAAGGGGTTTCTGAATCTTAATGTTGGATGGAGTTCCTTGTTCGGTTTGGAAAAGAAGTGGGGTGTCTGGATCCGAATTGGAATCCCTGGCTAAGACTCAAGGAGAGTCTCAGGATATAATCAACTTATTGAGGTCTGGACTCCAGAAATTGGGGAGATGTTGAAGGGAGATCCCAAATCAGAAGTGGGTACATGAATAGGTTCAGGGATCATCTAGCAGAAATCGGGTCCAGACTGAGGCAAACTTCTGGGTGTAAACGAAAGGTCGCAGACTAGATTAAGGAGTCTCCCAAGGTTCGGTTTGGGAGTCTAGATTATGATAAAGCCCTAAAGGTCAATAGGAAGTCTCACGCAGAAAGCAGAGGGGGGCCCAGTGATACTTGGGTACCAGAGTTGAATCGAGGATCCTGAAAGCCCAAACTGTGTGGCAGGAATCCCAAGTGTCAACAGCGGGGTTCCTGGGCAGTACTAGGGGGTCAGAACTCTGGAGCAGGGTCCCGGGAGTGGGGAAAGGAGATAGGCGCGCAGGCGCTACCTGGTGCCGCCAGCGGAAGAGGCTGGCCGTGTCGATGTTGGGGTGCGTCTCGTCTTCATCGTCAGACACTTCGATGTGGTCCCACACGCTGTAGTCCACCATCTTGCCTCGGCGGCCCAGCCCGCTCTGGCTCTGGTAGCAGAGGCGGCGGCAGTGCTGGAGATTCGGGCCGCGGAGCCCCGCCCCTTCCGCTTCCGTCCGGACGCTCAGCCCCCACCAGCGCGTGACGTCACATCCTTAGTAACCGTCGCGGCGGCACTGGCAACCAGGCCCGCCTTAAAGGGTCCTGCGCACGTGTTCCGGAGCACTGAGAGTTCCCGCCGAGACCCTGCTTCATTGGGCCCTGGGGCTCCGCTAGGCATTTCTTGGGGGCATACGGATAGTCAACCCAACCACGAGCCCTCTTCATCTCCCGCCGCCTTGCGGTGGACGTTCAGGGCAGCGGCAGGGATGCGGGGTGAGTTGAGATAGAGGAAGAGGATTGTCCCTTTAGCCACGCCGCAATGACATCAGCCCGGGCTCACTGCATGGGGCGGGGCCTGGGCTAGAAACCTACCCCTGGTAAAACAGGAGTTAACCCCGTTCTGGAGAGGGGTACCCGATCTGATGGAACTTTCCCAGTCCGAAGGTGACATGATTCTGTCCTGGGAAGGTCTAAGTGTGGAGTGATATGGCTCAACCCTTGGGAAGGGTCAGAGGTGGAGGGGTGATTGTAGCCCTGCCTTGGGAACTTGTTTTTCCCATGTTTTGACCACAACCTCTAACCCCGCCTCCATCTCCTACCACCTAGAAGACAACTGGCGCACAAGCACCGCCTCCGACTTCAGCGAGACCGCCTAACGGGTCTCGTGCGCCTGTCCGCTGCATCTCCCCGCACTGCCGCTGAGTGTCGCTAATGTCTAGCTAGCTACAAATGCTTCTGGCCCCGCGCCCAGTCCGGGATCACGGAGGCTCAGAGGGGGGCTTTCCTTGTTGTCGCAGTCTCTGGCTGCTCATAGCCCCTCCCTGTTCATTTGGGGCCCTCAACCTCAGCAGGAGCTTGAGGGATTCCATTACTCTTAACTTGGGGGGACCTCGGCTGTACACTTTTCTAGATCCCAACCCACGCTTTGATAACGGGATAAAAAGCCGTGTTGTAGCCTAGGGCCAGGATTATCTCAGATTAAAAGGTGTCCGCGCGGTGCAGGTGGGATAGGAGGAGCTCAGTCACCTGGGTGAAGGGTGCCTCTTCCCGGCCTTCCCCAGAGCCGGTGTTGGGGGTGGATCTGGAGAAAAAGGAGTAAAGGGCTCCAGATTGGGCCCCAGGGGGAAGGAAGGAGGGATTCCCCAGCTCAGGGAGGGGGAGGGGCCATCAGGACAAAAGCGCCCTCCCACTGTCACCCCTCCCCCCTCGCTCTCCATTCAAACCCGCGAGTGGGCGGGCGGGGGAGTCCCCTTCTCTTTCCCCTCCGGGTACAGCCAGGTCAGTCCAGCCCCAGCGGCAGTCACGGCCCAGGCACGCCCGCGCAGGAACCTACATCCAGCAGGTCTCACAATCGCGCACACACATTCACACACACTCACACACCAGCAAACAAAGGGTCTGGACACCCCTGTCCCCTCCCACCCTCAAGGCCGGAGAGGGCGGGGCATCCCCTCCCCAGACCCCCAACAAGGTAAGCTTTGGGTGGCAAGGTGTGGTGGGTAGGGGGACCAGGCGCACTGGAGGGAGGGAATCTAGATGGTGGGGCTTCCCTGGCTCCCCAAGAAAGACGGGTCCCCCTCGGGGACCTTTGAGGGCTTCGGCCCCACAGCTGGGATGAAGGTGTGCGGGGAGGATCCCGGATGCGAGGATTCCCAGGTAGGCGCGCGCGCGGGGTGGGGGGTATCTCTCCCCAGCTTCGTAGAGGAGCTGCCTGGCCCCAGTGAAATGGGATTCCAGGAGCCCCAGATTTGGGTAAGTGGGGACAGGAAGGCGGAAGCTTCCCGCACCATCACCAAACGTTTTTCCTAATCTGCCGCCAGTACTGCATCTCCAGTCCCTGGGGACGGAGAAATTGAACCCCCCCCCCCCCAGTTACTTTGTACTCTTCCTGTCTCCCATCCCCAGGAACCCAGCAACCCCCCACCCCCCATCAGTGCATCCCTGCTGTGTCTTGCTAGGGAGGACTGGGAATGCTTTTAGGGGCTGCCTTTGCTTCTACTGGTGTATCCCACAGCCATATACCACGTAGCTACGTTGGGACCCCGCAAGACGCTTTGCCTTCGTCAGCCTCAATTTCCTCATCTGCTAAGTGGATAATGACACCCTGAGGATTCCACGAGGTCCTGCATGCCGTGTGAGCTATCTTTGCTCCATCATTTATTTCCTGGCTCATTTCATGCCTGTTTTCCAAATACCTATGTATGCCTGGCACTGTGGCTAGACCATAGGGCTGCTGCAACCAATGAAACCAGCTCCTGGCTGAGGAAGGAGCAAGATCAGTGTATAAACAAAAAAACCCTGATGATTTCAGTCGGTGAAAACTAAAATTCTGTTGCCAGGCAGAGTGATTGGAGGGAGGGCACTCAAGATAAAATGAAATATTTCTTATATTTGCTCTCTTCCTTCACTTTGAGCTCCATGAAGGCAGAATCAAGTATAGAGCAGTGCTGGCCACATAGTAGGTGCTCAGTAAATGCCAAGTGAGTTAGAGAGGGGATTGGATTCAGAATAGATTCAGAGAATTTGAGATCCCAGAAGAGGCTTATCATGAAATCAGTCCAGTCCCCCTTCCATTTTACGTGGTGGTTGAGTGATTCCTGAAATGTCATCACTCCTGTAAAAGTGAAGAAGGATGAAGGACTGTTTGCAAATAGCTAAAGGAATGGACCTGTGGAGATCAGAATTGAGCACAAGGTCTTCAAGGTACTCCTAATACCCAGGCTGGGCCCACCCCACCCTACATAAGATTCAGACACTGCCCTGCATTCATCCGTTCAACAAGTATTTATTCAGTGCCTATTTCAGCCAGGAGCTGAGGACACAGTGGTGAACACCCCTACCCCACCTCCTGCCACCACACACACTACCCATGGAGCTGATAGAGGAGGAAATAGAAAAAATAAGCAAACAAACTAATACATAACAACATTGTGATTAAGAGGTACAGCCCAGTGGTAGATCCTATGCTTAGCAAGTGCTAGCCCCGAGTTCCATTGTGATTAAGACTGCAATGACAATAAAGGACTTGTGCCAGGAGAGAAAAATGGGCAGATGAATTTCTTGGATGTCCAGGAAGACCTGTGGGAGGAACTGAATTTCTTTTCAAAAGTATTCAAATCCAGACAAATGTAATCAGCACAGTGCAGTTGAGCACTATCTATGTGTGGAGCCTGAGAGCCTTGGCTATTGAGTAGCAGAGCAGAGTTTTTTTGTTTTTTTTTTTGTACTGGGGATAGAACCGCATGCTGGGCAAGTCCTCTACCACTGAGCTGCATCCTCAGTGCAGAACCTGCATTTTATTTTCCTTAAGTACTGGTACCAGAGTGTTTTATCACCGAGCTGCATCTCCAGACCTTTATTAATTTTTACTTTGAGAGAAGATCTTGCTGAGTTGCAAAGGCTGGCCATGAACTTGCAATCCTCTTGCCTCAGCCTCCCCAGTGGTTGGGATTACAGGAATGTGCCACTGCACCCAGTTTATTTTATGCATTATTTTATTTTATTGTACCCAGGGGTGATTTACCACTGAGCTATTACCCCAGCCCTTTTATTATTATTATTATTATTTTTTAATTTTGAGACGGGGGTCTCTTAGCCACAATTCTCAGATATCTTGTTGCTTAGGGCCTTGCTAATTTTCCAAGGCTGGCCTTAAACCTGCTATCCTCCTGCCTCAGCTTCTAGAGCCAATGAGATTATAGGTGTATGTCACCATGCTCTGATTTGGTACCAGGGATTCAACCCAGGGGTGCTTAACCACTGAGCCACATCTCCAGCCCTTTTTATATTTTATTTAGAGAAGAGTCTCTCACTAAGTTACTTAGGGCCTCGATGAGTTGCTGAGGCTAGCTTTGAATTCATGATCCTTCTCCCTCAGCCTCCTGAGCCACTGGAATTACAGTAAAACCTGCATTTTTAACCTCTGAAATATTGCTTCCTGCTGCATCTAGATGCACATACCCACCCCACATGCACACACACACTCACAGTCACACAGAGGCACGTCCAACCTCATGCCCACATACACTGATGTGGTGCTGCTGTCGTTTTCTCCAGCTATGATCTGATCTCAACTATATAATATTTATTTATTTTTTTTTAAAGTGAGAGAGGAGAGAGAGAGAATTTTTAATATTTATTTTCTAGTTCTTGGCGGACACAACATCTTTGTTGGTATGTGGTGCTTAGGATCAAACCCAGGCTGCACGCATGCCAGGCGAGCGTGCTACCGCTTGAGCCACATCCCCAGCCCTCAACTATATAACATTTAGACTCCTGGAAAGTCTGCCTGTCCAATTAGATATGCACCGATGTGTATGCACACATGTCTGAAGCCCTTGGGATTGCTTCCCAGGCCTGCTTTAGCTCTGGGTGTGGAGCTTGGTTAGTTGCAAATGCTTAAGGCCATGGTGTGAACGAAGGCCCCCAGGCTGAGCTGGTGGCTGACGACACTGATGGGCTGGCTGAGTGGGGGAAGAGGCCTCACACAGCCTGAGCCTGGTGCCAGCTGCCCAGAGCAGCCTGCTCTGCCATCTGGACCCTCCTTCCCAGCCAGCCTGCTGTCCAGAGGAGGAGAGGGCAGGCTTAGAGGAGCCCCTCCACCCAGTTCCTGAGGCTCTCCCTCCTTCTGCAGGCTGATTTCTGTAGAATTGCTGTTTTTCTGGCAGTAGGATGCATGTCTCTGCCTCTCCACGGCCTGTGGGGCCTGTGTCCACTCCTTTGTTCTTTCCTTCATCCCATAAATCATTGAATATCTACCTGGGCTGCTCAAGGCACTTGGGACATAGCCAGGACCCCCTACAGGATTCACAGGACCCAGAAAAATGCAAATACAGAGTCCCTGTTCAAAATTATCAAGAGTTTCAAGGTACTGGTACCAGAGTGAACAAGTACAAGTACAGCGCACTAAACCTAAGCATGGGAACATATGGGACTTCACTAAACCTAAGCATGGGGACATGTGTGACTTCACAGGTTGTATGTCCATTAAGTTGACCCTAGACACAACCTAGAACAAGAGAAAATCCCCTCCCCTTGTGGAACTGAGGGATAGAGGGACAGATAAATATATATGCAGACAATAAAAGTTAAGAGGGCTGGGTGTGGTGGTACACATCTGTAATCCCAGCTATTTGGAAGTCTGAGGCAGGAGGATCACAAGTTTGAGGCCAGCATCAAGAATTTAGCAAGGGGGGCTGGGGATGTGGCTCAAGCGGTAGCGCGCTTGCCTGGCATGCGTGCGGCCCGGGTTCGATCCTCAGCACCACATACAAACAAAGATGTTGTGTCCGCCGAAAAATAAAAAATAAATAAATAAATAAAATAAGATGGACACAATATCTTTATTAAAAAAAAAAAAAAAAAAGAATTTAGCAAGGTCCTAAGCCACTTAGCAAGACTCTCAAAAAATAAAAAGGCCTGGGGATGTGGCTCAGGAGTTAAAGCACCCTTGGGTTCAATTCCTGGTACCAAAATAATAATAATAATAATAATAATAAATGTTGATAGGAAAGATAAAGCTGGGAATGGGACAGAAGGTGATGGTGTGAAGGGAGGTATCAGTGTCAGGGAAGCAGAGACCCCAAAAGAAGTAAAGAAGTCAAATAAATTCATTCATTCAAAAGATATTTTTTGAGGATCTAATGTAGCCACAATACAAAGTACTGTTCCCTGCTAGGTCCTCTGGGGTCCCAGCAGGGAACAAAACTGACCAAAATCGCTATTGCATCAAAAAATAGCAATAGCTAGGGCCAGAAGCATAGCTCATTGGTAGAATACTTACCCAGCATGTGTGAGGCTCTAGATTTAATCCCTGGTACAGAAGAAAGAAAGAAGGAGGGGTGGTGGTAGGGAGTAAGTGAATTATATGTCTTGTTAGAATATTATAAGTCTAAAGTATACGGATGAAACAAAAGCAGCATCAAGAGGATTCAGGGAGTGAGAAGAGAACAAGACTTTCTGGGTAGAAGAAAGCATGTACAATGGCCCTGAGGTTTGAATATGTTCTAAGTGAGGAACAGCAAGGAAGCTGGAGGGGTAAGGGCAAGGATGGGAGGAGATGAGTTTGTACCTCACAATGATCCCAGCAGGTAGGTCTAAATACTATCCCTGTTTTACAGATGATGAAATGGGCCCAGAGAGGCTGGGTGACTTTTCCAAGGTTATACAACCAGGAAATGGCAGAGGCAGATTTTAATGCGAGTCTGTAAGCATAATTTTGGAACCTGGGCATTTTATACATAACCCATTCTCTGCCTGTCTACATTCATGACCTATTCTCTACCTCTCTGCACCTTCTCTCCCTGTGTCCTCTTTTTCCCTTCCTCCCTTCAGCATTCTTTGAAATTGTACTTGGGTGGGGCCCATGATTAATGGATACTGTTTTGTCATCCAGTGGAATAATGTTTACATTCACTTTTAGTAGACCTTAAACTGAAGCATAGATATTGCAATAAGGCAAGAAAAAAAAAGTACAGTTAGGAAGAATTAGTTCTGGTATTCTGTAGCAAAGTTGGGTAACTATAGTCTGTAACAATTTTTTTTTTTTTAATTCTGAGACAAGGTCTCACTAAAATTTCCTAAATTGGCATCAAATTTGTGATCCTTCTGCCTCAGCATCCTTAGTAGCAGTGAGAACAGACATGCTACCACACCCAGATAATCTGCAATAATTTTTAGCGGGGCAGTGTTGCATGCTTGGAGTCCCAGCTACTCAGGAGGTTGAGGCAGGTAGAATATCTAGACAATCTGGTGAGACCCTATCTCAAAATAAAATAAAAAAGAGCTGGGGATGTAGCTCAGTGGTAAGGCACACCTGGGTTCAATTCTCAGTACAGCAAAAGGAAAGCCAAAGCTATGCAAGCCATCTAGGCTTCTCAGCAGAGGAAGGCCAGGATCTGACTTGGGTTCCAAAAGGCTTCCACAAGCTCAGCTGTTAGTTCATTCTCACGTGGAACCCATACACATTGTCATCCCATTTTCACAGATGAGAAACTGAGACTCAAAAGAGTTTCTAAGTCAGTGACTCATGGCCACCAAGCAAAAACCTTCAGTGCCTGGGTGTGAAGGTTGAGTGAGCCGGCCTCTCCCTCCCCCAAGCCTTTAGACAAGGATCGGCGGCAGCAAAGCGCACCCATCATCGCGAGCTGTGTCCCTGTCTGTCTGTTTCTATTTCCACACGTCCCTGTCTGTCTCCGCGCGCCTCTGCCTGTGCGTCCCCCATCTGTGCCCAAAGCCGCCGTCTCCCTGCGGCCGGCCCCCGCACATCGGAGCTATTTCGGGTTTAGGCATAAAAACCCAACAGCTCTGAGGAGACGCTTCCTCCGGTCCCCGGCTCGGACCACGCGCTGCACGCGGCCAGCTCTGGGAGCTCCCAGACTTCTCTGTGGGATCCCCGGGCGGGGAAGCCCCCGCGGGAAGAAGGGTGGGGGCTGGGGCGGCTGGGCCGCGAGCCTCCCGGCCCCCCAGTGGCCATACCGCGCATTGACGCTGCCCAGAGCCCGGCCGTGCGTCAGCTGTCGTTCTGACAACCGGTCGGCGACGTCACTGAATGGCAGTGCGTCAGCAGCCTGCTGACGTCACGCCTCGAGAGAGACAAGAGGCGAGGGGCGGGTTCCTGGCCCGGCCGGCAGGGGGAGCCCCGGGGAGCTAATGGCGGATCCTTCGCTTGGTCCTGCAGGTGGCCATGACCTGGGCCCACATGTCCCCGGAAGCCCCCACGACACGCTAGGTTGGAGGGATGAAGAGGAGTCGCAGTGTCCTGTCCGTGGCGGGGACCCGGGACGAGGTGCGAGAAGCGGGGCCTGGGCTGAAGGCGAAGCTTAGGCTGCGACAGGGGAGTGGGAGGGAGGCGGCCTCTGTTGACCACGGCTGTTTCCTGAGCTTCTTCTAGAGTCGCATTCCCTATGCCTCAGTTTACTCCCCTTGACTCCACTTTTCTCCTGCTGCCCAGATTAAGAGACACTTAGCACGGGGGTAGAGGACCTTCTTGGAGCTTCCCAAATGGGGGGAAGGATTTGGGCCAGAAGGTGGAGGGGCACAGGGCTGGGATCTTGAGAGTCTCAGATGTGGAGGAGCTGAGAGGGTCAAGACACAAGGCCAAGAAGGGGCCTCTTATACGCGGAGGGTGGGAAGAGACCCTAAAAGGATGATGTCTTATCAGAGTCTCACAAGAGAGAAAGATGGTTGAGATGCGAGGCCCAGAGCCCAGGGCTGGGAATCCAAAAGTGGCCCAGAAGATACTGTGGCTCAAGGGGTGGGAGGCTCAGACACGAGGAGGACATCAGCTACTGCTCAGGTGGCTTGGTGCGAGTGTTCCTGGAGGGAGGGTCTCAGTTTTTGCAGTCCAGGCCACGCCCCCATCCCACCGGTGTCCCTTCACAGAGGCCCCGGGAGACCCCTGAGTCGGGCAGAGCCAACATGTTAGGGGCTGACCTGCGTCGTCCTCGCCGCCGCCTCTCATCTGGTCCTGGGCTGGGCTGGGCCGAACCAGAGCCCTCCGACCCTGGGGTCCCACTACCATCACGGCCCACTACGCTGCCGCTTCTGATCCCACCACGGATATCCATCACCGGGGCAGAGGCCAACAGGTAGGCAGGAGCGGGACCAGATTGGGAGGTGGGGTGGAAGAACAAGGCCAACTGGGCTCCCTGCGCTTTACAAAACAAGCTGAAACTTCTGTACTCTAGTGGGTCTGTACTCTAGTGGGTCGGGCTGTGACAACTCTCCTCCAGGCACCCTTTAGAGTCGCTGGGAAACCCCTTTTCCCATTTTCCAAGCTGCCTGAGTCAGCAAAAGGCAGGACAGAGGAAATGGGTTTCAGCTTTTCAGTACCCTAGGTTGCCCCCCAAATGCAGAGCTGAGACAAGCTGAGGAACAGGTCTGTCTGTGACCAGTCTGTGGGGCACTTAGCTCTGTTTCCTCTAATGGGAAGATTCTGATCTCCCACAATTTAAAAGGGGATAGTGGGATCTAGAAGGAGGCTGGGGCTCGAATTTTTTCTTTCTTCTGGGGAGATGTAATATCTGAGAGCTCTAGCTTTACACTGTATTTTCTACCTATTTTTCGTCTTGGAACCTCCCAGGGCACCCCCAAAGCTCCACTCCCTTGGACCAAGGATGAGTCGGAAAGCCAAAGAGCTGAGCTGTGCCTGGCTGCTGGCCTGCCCCTGCCCGCTTCCGCATCCCCTGGCCTCTGCTCTCTGCAGCCCCAGGACCCCCCTCCCCATCTACTAAATTGGAGGGCTTCAGGGTCCCTGGTTAGGTCTTGATAGAGCTTATTTCCAGATAGGGGGAGAAGTGACTAATTTTCCCTGAGGCCAACGGAGGTGTATTTCCCCTCCCCCATTCCTCTAGCCTCCATTTGGTTCAAGTCCAGCTTGATCCAGCTCAGGGCTCATCAGAGCTCCAAATACCAGCCCTGGCCCACTGCCCTGTGCTCTTTTTCTTCTGAAACCCCAGTTATGACCTGGCCCCCACTCCCCGCGTTACCCATCCTCCATCCGGCGCTCTGGTGAAAGGCCACAAACCCCACCTACACCCAAGAATTTGGCCCAGCTCAGGACCCTCAAATTATTTGAGAAGGACCCGAAGCCCTTACAAATCCCTTAGAAGCCTTGAGGGAGGTTGCTGAAAGAAGTGGGGAACACAGTTCTGGCTTCTGGGATACCCCGCGGCTGCTGATAGGGGGCCAGTTCTTGCTCCGCGTTCGCCTACGCCCGGAGCCCCCTCTGGCGGGGAGAAAAGTGGCTGTGGAGGTTGGAAACGGGAAGGATTTTTTTCTTTTCTTTTTTTTTTTTTAAATAAGAACAGCTCCGGGGGAAGGGGAAGGGATTGGCAGACGGCACTGCCTGCCCTGGGGAGCCCGTGAGAAGGGGCGCACGGGGGGCGAGGGTCTGGTCCTTGCAACCAGCACCAAAAAACCTTTTCAGGTTTGAGCGAGGATCCGCCTTGGGGGCGGGGCACGGGGGCGCGTGAACACCCCCAACCCAGCAGCCACTGGGGCTCGGTCGGGGCCCGGGGGGATGGGGGCGCGCTCGGATCCCGCTCGCTCTGTGCTCGCTTGCTCGGCGCGGCGCTGGGGGAGGCGGGAGCGTGAGTCACGGCAACTCCCGATTTAGGTGCCGGAAGGGGGGTTCTGCCCGCGGGGGCCGGGGGGACGAGGCTCGGCTGTTTACTCGCCTGAAAAGGGCACGGGGTGCGCCTCGCGGCTACTGAGGATCTGCCTCAGTTTACCTCCAGTAGAACCGCTTTAGAAGAGACAGCCATACATGGTACATCGAGCGGTGGGTGGGCAGCCGGAGTATCCACACTGGGTGCCCTCCTGAAACCCGCGGGGACTTAAGGGACACACCCCAGAAACATCCCAAAGAGGCCCCAGGCCGACCACACACATACACAAAACACCCATATACGCCCTCAGATACCACAGTCAGACTACGGGGGAAGAATTGTGTGCACAACTCGGCAAGCACGCACGGACCACAATACACACCCATGCTCGTGGGATACGCAGCCCCCGGGCCACGAGAAAAGACCCTGCAGAGGCGTCCTTTCTCCAAACAGACAACACACGTGCGCACACATCCTTCACCCGCATATACACAAGATACACACACAGCGGAAAGACAGAGAAACAGGCAGACAGTAGCAGCCAACCACGTGCACACACACACTTCAAGCCGACATCGAAAACAGACAACCCTCGGAGGGGCCACGTGCGCTCACATCCTGCCCGGGGAACGCATCGTCACCTTCCTCCGACCCACAGACAGGAGAGTCCCGGCACACCGCCACTGCCGGCTCCAAGAACCGCTCGTGTGACACTAGGACCACTCCCCAAAAGCTCCCGCGGGCTAGGGGTAGAGGCGAGGACAGGCCCGCTCCCGACTCCGCCCCCGCCATGATGGACGGACTGACTGACACTCGGGCAACCAGTCGGGTGTCTTCTTCCCGATCCGATTAACCGTTTAACTCTTTCGTGCCTGTGCGCGCCGCTGCTAGGCTGAGCACTCTAGAGAGAACTGAGTTCCGGCGCCCCCTCCCCGCCGG